ATTAATTTTTATCTTACAAGTATCTGACTTTCTTTGAGATATTTAAGAATTCGGTTCAGGGTTCAATCCTGCATAGGTCGAGATAATACCTTCGGATTTTTCAACCCAGTTTCCCCCTGTCAGTGAAGCAGGTAAGAGGGGCTGTCATGGAAAAAGCGTCTAGCCGTTTGGATAGGACAATAAACAGAGGCCCGTGTGCCACAGGCTGTGCATATTAAAGATCCCTCGACAGTTGGAAATCGTAAAAAGAGCAGGCTAATGCCGCTGTCCTGGTAAAATTTCCCTCACTGCAGCCTTCATTAGCCCACATGGTACAGAAAAGTAGGACGTAAAACATTCTCTTCTTGGAAATGTTTAAAAGTAAATAAGAAAAAAATATATAATTGCAATGTTAAAAACACCAGTCAGAATTCATCATTCTGGTGTCATGCAAGCTTATAGGTCAACCTAGGAAACTAGACTACATCAATTTTCAAAAAACTATTCTTATTATTGTAGATAGACAAGATGTAATTCTAGAACTATTTGATTGTTGTAATGGGCATATATACAAGCTTATATGTTTCTTTATCCATAATCCATTTCTGTTATATTTTACTTATGAATTTTACAGTTTTGAAATATTTTGATCATTATATTGAATATTTTGTACCAGTTAACATTACATGTCACATCTGTTACCACTGCTAGACAGACAGGTTGGCAATTTTACACAGTTAAAGTCAATGTACAGAGGTTTTCTAAATATTTTACACACATAGGGGATACTGATAGCATCAATTTGCACCGTTCCAATTTTCAATCAGTTGTCTGTGGTTCCTGCAATTTTACTAAAACCTAAGAATTTTCACTGTCGTGATTTGCAATTAGTAATGTCATCAAACACTTAGTTTTAGTGGAATTGCAGGAACCACAGACGTCTGATTGAAAATTGGAACGGTGTAAATTGATGCTATCAGTGTCCCTGATACACATAAAATTTTGAGAAAACCTCTTGACGATCCCTTTAAAAATTCAAATTTATTCCACTTATAAATATCTTAAAAATAATTAGTTAAATTAATTACATAAGATAATTATTAATTCTTAAAGAGTTATCAGTAATTAAACATCAGTTAAATTTGTTAGAACATGAAGTTGAATTTATTAATGGTAATGAATTAATATTAAACAGTTTATGAATGAAACATTTTCATTAAACATTTGCATTAAAATTTAGTACAATTTATTACACAGTGCTCAGTTAAAATTGTAACACATGTCAGTTGGCTGTTATATGAAATATTTAATATTAATTAATTATATGTTTAATTAATGAATAAAACATTTTATTAAACAGTTAATGAATGAAACATTTTCATTAAACATTTTCATTAAATAAATAAGACAATTTATGGTTAGATACTTCTAGAATATTTATTACTTCAACGTTTCAATATGGTTCTCACACCGTCATCAGGAATATAATAATGATTAAATTTATATAGATCTGTAACCACAATTTTTTTTTTTCAAATTATTTAAATTACTAAGCTATAATGACAGAAGATATTTCAGTTATAATTAAATATATTTATGATTTAAAACCACTAATCGCTGGTAAATATTTTGGAGTAACAATTGGACTGGTCAGGTAATTTAGACCAAAATCAACATCCCTGACTTGTACCTTCTATAATTTTTAAATCATTTACTCTCATAACTGTGTAAGAAATCTATAGATAACTTAGAATGATGTACATTTATTTTAGTTGATTTATTGCCAGAAAACAACCATCTTTTAATCAAATAAGATGAAGATTTATAATATGTTGCAGAAAAGTGTTTATGAAGGACAATTTACAGAAGAATGATAAATCCAGAACGTGCTTTGAAATTTGTTAAATTACAAGAATTCAATTAGGATTTCTTCCTATATCAAAAGTTTTGAACAAAAACTTGGTCAATCCAGCACACTGTCAGTGAAATTCTTGTAATGATTCATTAAATAATCTTTGTGCAGCATAATGTTGATGATCATTCTGCTGGAAGGTGATCAGTCTGCTGGTCTGTCTGGATGATAATGATCAGTCTGTATGATAATGATCAGTCTGTATGATAATGATCAGTCTGCTGGATGATGATCAGTCTGCTGGATGATGATCTGTCTGGATGATAATGATCAGTCTGCTGGATGATGGTCAGTCTGCTGGATGATGATCTCAGTCTGCAGTATGGTGATCAGTCTGCTGGATGATGATCTGTCTGGATGATAATGATCTGTCTGTATGATAATGAGATCAGTCCGCTGGATGATGATCTGTCTGGATGATAATGATCAGTCTGTATGATAATGATCAGTCTGTATGATGATGGTCAGTCTGCTGGATGATGATCTCAGTCTGCTGTATGGTGATCAGTTGATGATCAGTCTGCTGAATAATGATCAGTCTGCTGTTTAATGATTATTCTGCTGGATGATGATTTGTCATTATTCATAGAACAAACTCTGTAATATTTAGGTTAAGCAGATTGTACAAAGGTTATAGATCTACACTTTTTATGTGACATTGTTTTAGCATTGATTTGCACTGGTCATTCAAATTTTTAGTAAGACATCTGTGGTTCTTGCAATTTGAGTATAAATACAAAGCATGTTAGTTTTTAGTGGAATTTCAAGAACCATGGACGTTGGACTGAAATTAGGATTGGTACAAATCAATGCCTCTGATTTACATAAAAAGTTCAGAAAACCTCTTTACAATCCCTTTAATCTACATCTCATTCTCTAAGAACCATCTGTCAAGAAATTAGTATTACTATGAACTGCTAGTGATAGGGTTAGATTAGTACTATTACATTGACTATACTAATTAATCAACTAGTAGTAGAGTACCAGTAGTCTGTAATTATACAAAGTATGTACATTGATTATCTTTAATAATTGATATTATTGATTTGTAAAGTAGCATTATCTGCAATCATCTGATTCAATTACATGTCTGTTGCTTTGATTGATCAAGCCCAGAAATATTTATAGACTATTCTTTGACAAGAAATTCAAATTGCATCACAAATTCCCATAAAAGGGGAATACAATAAAAAGTATATACTATTGTCCTGTTGGTTAATGTTTCGGTTAATTTCCTTCTTCAGATCATGATTCTAAACTTTATGTAAAGGTAAGACGGAAAAATGTGATCATATAAGCTACTGAAGTGTTTCTGACGAAGGCAATTAGCCGAAATGTTAACCAACAGATAATTACTAAAAGTATTCTAGATACCTCTTTGGATGACGAAAAAATTTAAATTTTAAACTTGGTTAAAATGAGTCTTTGTTCATCAGTTGATTTACCTGGTGTCAAAACAGAATACCTCTATAATCAGATAAATAAAACTAAGTAATAATTCATTAAACCTAGTAATTTTTGATACATGCATAGAAGCTTTTTTTCAATAATTACTTAGTTTATTGGATATATTGTCTTATATAGAGATTCTATTCTATAGTCATGACACCTGGTAAGTTCAACTGATGCATATATACTTATTGACCAAGTTTAAGACTTATATGTTCATTCTAAGAGGTAGTATCCTTTTAAGAAATTGCAATTTCATGACAATACTACAGTGGTCAGTGCTATGGCTTTCTAAATAATTCCAGGAATTTTTGCAACTGAACCAGGAATTCTTAGGACCATTAGAAACAGTCATTAAGTTTTTTGGAAATTAGGAAATCCTGAAACTCAAAGTGGAGAAATATGACAGTTTCTTTAAGTTTGCTATCTGATCTCAGATTGTTATCAAGTTCTCTACATTACATGCTTTAATTGGTTAAAAATAAGGACATAGAAAACCTGTAAAATGTCAGAAAGGAAAAAAATGAAATTGTAATCTTTATTTTGATCAAATTGACTGTGTTGCAATATTTGTATTTTTAAATGCAATAAAATGGAGAAAAATATTGTAAAAGATGGTTCTTGAAAGCATTTTCTCCTGAAATAATGATCTCTTTGACTTTTTGACTGTATTTTAAAACATTATCCCTGTTTACATTAGATCACTACGAAGCTTTCCATTCTCAGTCTATACCTGGACGTGATAAAATTACAAAATTTTTACCGTTTACACTTACTACACTTTCCTAGAACACTTAGATTATAACAATATTAAGTGTCAACGATCAAACACATTTTAATGGAACTCTTCATGAAAGAGCTAATTATAGACGTTCATATTACCCATAGGAAGGCAAATACATTACAAATGCTAAAAAAAATTGCAGAAAATGTCAAGGGGTCAAAATGAATATGTAAGAACTGTTCTCTGAACGGATACACTACGAAATTTTAACTGTTTCATTCTGAGAACTGTTCAGAAACCACAGTAGTCTCAAATTGGAACTGTTCTCAGAACCCTTTCAAGACTGTTTACACCAGTAATCTGTTCCGTTCTCGATACTGTTCTCAGAACGGATAATTTTTGTAACGTAAACAGGGTTATTGACTGATATTTATTTATGGTAGTCATGCTGAATGTTGGTCAATGAATAAATTGAATTCTCACTAATTCATTCATTTCCCCAGACTACTATAAATATTGTGACTAAAGATACATCACGCATGAGTATTCTCTACAATATAATCACTAAATATCTCTGAAATTTTTGTACCTTGGTCTTAGAAACTGAAATTGTTCGTTTTAAAACTAATTAAAATGATAGTGTTCACCATCAAAATTTTAGCCTTTTTAAGACATGTGTATCCATAATTATATGTGTTTGAACATTAGATTGTCAAACCACCTTTTGTAAGACTCTGTAGAACAAGTTATAAGTGACTGGATAATCAACACCATATTAACAAGACCAACAATGTTAGTGTACCGTAATTTTCAGGCAGAGATAAACTAGTGAAAGAAAAAGAAATAAGAAAACATTCTTATTTTGAGGTATTTAAATTAAACAATGGATCTATTTTTCTTTAAAATCTCAATGTTTGTATTTTTGATATTTTTCAGGATAGAAAAACATTTCGTCGTATTGTATTAAAATCAGCTTTCCTCAGAAGAAAGATGTACGAAACTTTGTTAGAAAATGTTCCAATGCTCAAATCACTGAACGTAAGTATTCTGTATAATATTATACATATTGGCAGTGAAAACTTGAAATATCTAGATCTTGTTCAAACAGTTATAAAATGTTCCAATGCTCAAATCACTGAATGTAAGTATTCTGTATAATATATAAGCTTTAATAATAAGTTTTAATCAACTTTCTCTTTTCAAAAAAAATCAGAGAAAATTGTGTATTTTATGCCTCCATTCATGTTTTTTTAGCCTTAATCTGCATATTTTAGTCTTAATCTACATAATTTAGCCTTAATCTGCATAATCAAACGCAGACTATCAACGCAATTGTTGTAGACTTTCAGTTGTGATTGAGTGAAGATAGAAAACACACCTGATACTGGTACTAGTATATGCTGAAAGAATCGAAATAATCGATCATCGTCACTAGGAATTTATAATTTCAATTATGGAATATCGAATTTCAAACTTATGTCAAAGTTATATTTGTCCACTGTCCTTGTTAACTAGCAGTAATCTCTTCCACATACAGGTTCCCTTCAGCACACAACTTACCCACAGTAAGTCTAATAACCAATCTAAGCAAGAATATACAGCAGAGCAGCAGTTTTTCTGCTCATTTCGCTTATTTATAAACACAAATCTCCCTCCCAATTTTCTTTTTGGGAGCCCCTTTGACTGATTAAGTTAGACTCTTGGGCGCTGACCTTTGATATACATGACCTGATCAATCCAGTTTCTATGTCTATGATACAGGACAGAGGGGGCCATCATTCCATATTGCATGGTGCTGTTCATCTTCATTTACACTTACATTTATGTGGGGGAAAAAAATAAAAGAAAAACTCCATTCATTTCATTTCTCAATTTTATTGCATATGGTCAGAATGCGGAAGTAAACGCAGTTCCAGCCTTGATCCACTTCTCTTTTTATAAACTGCTGTTTAGCCATGTTTGACCTAGATGTATTTATAATACACAGTTTGATAATGAGACATTTAAGATTAGTTGGTAACTACAGCCTGAGGATATCTTCCTTGCTTCAATTTGACACCATAATTAACATGATGAGACAAGTCTGGTAGAGGTTTGAGATTATCTTGTATGTTGTATTCAACATCATGTCTACTAGACATTTCCCTAGACATCAGGAATATTGTAATGTTTCTGTAGAATACATTTGATAACCAGAAGATGGTGAGCAGACATTTTGTAAAATTTATTACTTAGTTCTGATGACATGAATTATGGGATTGCGAAATCCAAAGAGGATGTCATAATGCTCTACATTTGGTTGGTTGAAAATAGTGGATTGAATGGAACTACAGTAGAAAACTTGTTAGATTATAATGATTTTAGAAAAAAAAATTTTTTTAACTCTAATTTCAATGGAAGCACAAATAAGTTCAAGAGCAGCATCTCACCGTAAGAACAAACCATGCACTTTATCAATTGTTTATTATGCTGTAACATTGTAAAAAGATTTAAAGTGACCGAATTTAACTTGACCAATCTTACGTTATCCTTCAAAATTTAAGCCTTCAAGTCCATGTCTGTCCAGAATTATCTGCATATGAAAGATAAAAAGACGAATCATCTTTTCTTGAGACTCTGCTATATAGCAATAGGAAAAGAAATTCTTTCTTTGAGGTATTTTTGATGGAATTATACGATTTTCTTACATTTTTAGTGCTTCTAAAGACTTTATTCAAGACCCAATTCAAGTCCCCAAAATGGCGAATCTGTCACTTTAACTAGAGAGTTGAAGGTGTGTAAGTCTGGATGTGTAGGACACAGCTGTCATGTCTACAGTCATTATGATAATTAAGAACCATTAAAATAGTTCCTGGAAGTGTGACCATGTTATTACTAGGAGCTGGAGGTCTTGACATTTCAACCTTGCCAATTATACTACAGATCTGCTGCTATCCTATTATATTACAATGTCTATTATCATTATTATTCCAAGTGTAGTAATTGCTTCTTCACCATTTCATTCTCTCTGGGCAGGTGAAATTGTTGTACTTTGTCAGATTTTTCATTGGTTTGAGCTATTAAACTACTAACTTCTGACTTACATCATTGCTGTTACTGAAGAATTGCAACTGCATACCTCCCCAAAACTTTTGGTAAAATGTGATTATACAGTCTAATTTTCAGTACAGAACATTCCATTTGACCACTATGGCTAGTATTTTCTTCCTTGTCATACAAGTGGTTGAAAGAAATCACATTTTATTGTAGTGTTGGAAATCTATGCTTTATAAATTTAAATGTTGAAGGTCTAAGGCTTTATAAATTCTAATGTTGAAGGGCAAAGGCTTTATAAATTCTAATGTTGAAGGGCAAAGGCTTTATAAATTCTGATGTTGAAGGGCAAAGGCTTTTTAAATTCTAATGTTAAAGGGCAAAGGCTTTATAAATTCTAATGTTAAAGGGCAAAGGCTTTATAAATTCTAATGTTGAAGGGCAAAGGCTTTTTAAATTCTAATGTTAAAGGGCAAAGGCTTTATAAATTCTGATGTTGAAAGGCAAAGGCTTTATAAATTCTGATGTTGAAGTTAAAAGGCTTTTTAAATTCTAATGTTGAAGGGCAAAGGCTTTATAAATTCTAATGTTGAAGGGCAAAGGCTTTATAAATTCTAATGTTGAAGGGCAAAGGCTTTATAAATTCTGATGTTGAAGGTCCAAAAATGGTTGCAAATAATGAAAGTGATCATGAGTTCTGAGGGCAACTCACAACTCAGTTGTTTGAGAGATGTGTTGCAAACTTATGATCGCTCTTATGATCGCTATTCTTATTCACTACCATGATGCAACTGGTGATGGCTATGGTGTGACAGCCACTTAAGTTGAAGGTTTAATAATTTGTAATGTCAGAGGTTTTTGGATTTAAAAGGAATAATTCTAGGTCTGGTTGTTGTTAGCTCTAAGCAGTCTACGCCACGCTGTACCGCCTTGGTCAATAAGGAGAAGATAATGAAATATAAGATCAATTAGAGAAGAAAATTGTCATTTTAATGAAGAAACCCAAATAACATCAGGGTAATTTGTTTGTTTGGCTTGAGGACATTATAGAAATTGGACGAAATCTCTCGTGATGGCTTCTACAACCTTTTCTTCTATTCCACCATTTTGTTTGCTCAATTTGCCATGTGTTAATGACATTTAGAGTGAAATAGATTCCACCCCCGTTGAAAGCTTCCAGTCGTTGGAGATTTTTCAAGGAATATTTTACAAATTTATTTCAATTCCATAGAGATCAATATTCAAGCCTGGTTTATCTAGTGTTTGTATTTCAATGTTTTATTTGATTAAATTTGAAATATCTCATCCTTAAAGTAATATAGTTGTGCACCCTTGAGCTTGGTTTCTTTTAATGTATTGCTTGTATAGGCATACATGTATGAAATTGTTTTTGGGTGTCAAAACCTAATGGATCATGGAATGATCATTGCACAAATTTATTTTAAAAAAAGGGGGGGGGGGAGAATTCACCATTTTAAAAAAAAAGATAACAATTGTTTTAATTGTACATAAATTCATTACAGGGACAGATGCACCATTTTGTTTCACCAATCATACTTTATTCTCAGAAACGGGAAAAATGACAACTCGTCAATTTAAGATAATCTGTGATATATAGAAACGACTTATACAGAAATAGTGGGTAAAATTCATAGTTTGAAGAATTTTTAAAGGAATTATTTGTACATTTCTAGTTCTTCTGAAAACTATTTAAATATATTCAAAACTAAAATCGACCTCCCAAAATGCCTGTCTCTTTAAGTTTAACATTAGAAAAAAAAAATTGTATTAAATTTTTTTCTAAATTTTCTATGTGCATTGGAATGACTGAATTGATGATGACACTCTATGGAGTCAGGCACACGAAGAAAAGAATCAATGAGACAAAAATTGCCAACTAGAATCCAACATGCTTGATGTTCAAAAATCTGAAAAGAAGGCGATAATCTTGTTGCTAAAGAGGGGGGCAGGCACAAGGAAGATTTTAATGAAGATTAGTGTCAGCAACAAAACTCACTCATGTGCTCCATGCTTAAGCTTAAATACATTTTAAATTGTATTTCGCTCAGATATTGAGTTGAGAATCAGAAAAATGATGAGATATCAAAGCCAAAATTGACAGGTTAAAATTTTACAAATTCAGCATTAATTCATGTTATTTGTAGTACAAATTTGAATTCTTACGATTTATTGCTGATTAAAACTGTTATAGTGATAAAAATAAAAATAAATTGTTCTAAAAAAACTACAACAATGAATAAATGTTAATCGTCCATTTTGAAATATTCTAAAGACGGATTCTCCCTTGATGAATGATATTCTTTTAAAGGTTGTTCACATTAATTCAACTGTTTAAAATTTTAGACCAGATCAATATATTTTCCTGTCTTACAAAACCTCCTACCTCAATATTTCAGACAACAGAAAATTAGTTCCGTTGGTTAAAAGCTACCTTCATTCCCAACAAAAAAAAAAAAAACAAACCATCTTCAGAAACTCTCATTATTAATCAATTGATTAAATTAATACTGAGAAATTAGGAAAATCCAGGTTAATCCTAGCTTTTTTTTCACTTCTGTCCGACTCAAAATTAGCCTTTTTTTAGCTCCTGCCTTTATCGAGATAATACCTTCATATTTTTCAACCTGATTCCCCTGTCAGTGATGTAGGTAAGATGGGCTAACATAGTCCTTCAGATGGAACAATAAACTGAGGCCCTGTGTGCTACAGGCTGTGCACGTTAAAGATCCCTCGACAGTTGGAAATCGAAAAAGAGCAGGCTAATGCCGACTGTCCTGGCAAAATTTCCCTCATTGCACCCTGCATGGCGTTGCCCATCTTCATTAAATTGGTCCACATGGTGCAAAAAAGTAGGACATAAAGCTCCATTCATTTCATTTACTGCTGCTTTTACAAATTTTTTGTTTTGTTTTTTAAAACAAGAAAATATATTGGTTTGGACTAAGGTTAAAGAACTGAACACTCGTCTGACAGGAGAGTTTATG